TTGTGGGTCCTTCATCCTTATGTTTAATTTACAGTCCTGTTACAGGAATTCATTCCCCATTAGAGCCCGAAAGTTTTGATAAATGTCAATCGTCATTATCAAGATATTCAAAAAATGGCTGTGGTAGTTTAGGATTGATTTATGTCCTTGTTTAGGGTTTCGAAGTTGAGACATTAAGAACTTAGCTAGAGTTAGACTCAGTTTTAGGGTTAGATTTGTGGATGGTATAGTACGCGAATCCATCACAACACCTAAAAGTAAAGCAGAAAAAAAAAGTGACAGACGTCACTGCTATTAAGGTGAAGATAAAATAGATAGATAGATATAGCTAGGAATATATATTTATATATATATACACACACACATACACGATTACCACACACATGCTAGAGGAATAGGATGCTAGCTAAGCTATCCCATCTTAGCAAGCTTTTGTAGTTGCTTACGTCGCGTCCATGACCAGTGGGCATGATTGGATTGAAAGGAAAAGGAGGAACAATCAGCTTCCACGTGGTCTCCACAATTTTCAGATGAAGTCCAATCATTTTTAGGCTAATATTAAATAAATAATACTAGTATTAACTTTTTTTTCAAGTCTAATACACTAATCTTAATCTCTAGATTATTGGGTTATTAGAAAGCTAATCACCTTTTCGCTTCGGTATTGACTTGTTCAATTATTTGGATGTACATTTGTACATGTTCGAAATACAATCATAAGCTCCATATATATATATATATATATATATATATATTCACACACATACATACACATGGAGTTAATGGTTTAATTATCATTTTTCTCTTTCCATTTTTGGTCAACCAATAACAAATAGTAATCTTTCTTGCTTACTATAATTGTGTAAATGTTTTTCTCACGCTCTTTTAAGAAGATTAGGAGGAATCTTTATAGCTAAACTCATCTATTAAGTAGGGCAATTATAGATTGTACCTTCACAGTCTTCTAATCAAATTGATCCATTTTTGGTCTTCCAAGAAATAAAATTTGATTACATGTCCTAATCATTATTGCGGTCCCACCTAGATAAGTACATATGGATTATTCACTGTAAATGTGCAGTTCGTTGATTTTAAGATCAAATTAAATTTCCATTAATTTTCACTCTTACTTACCGGAAATAAAAAAAAAAAAAAAAAATTCCATTAATCCGCGTGTAGTCTGAAAAGAACTGCTCCCTTCACCTTACAAAATAAAAAAAAAATAAAAAAATTATTCACCTTTTTATTTTTAACTATTTTAAAACAGTTTTTCTAATTTAAAATTTAATGTAATATTTTTATAATATTTCTAATTTACTCTTAAAGACTTGAAGTTATAAAAAGATTAACTTCATGTTGTCAAAGTGTATATTTAAAAATTCATTATCCGCAACTATAAGAAAATGATATTAAAAATTAAATTATCAAAAAGGGACCATTTTTCTGTGGGATCTCAGGGAGTATCATAGATTTATAGCTAATTAAATTTCTATTTTATTTTTATTATGATGTTAAGAAGTACATTCACACACTCACTTTGTGACAAAAAAATACCATTAAATTATAACCATTGGTAAATTTTCATTAACCTATTAGGTCCCAGTAAGAATTATCAGAACTTGTTTAGAAATGTAATTTATTTAGATCTTAACAAAAAATTATCCAGTTGTGCTAGCTATGTACAATTCCTATTATGCAAATTTAATTTTAAATTTTGTGGGTTTCAAGCAGAGCCCACAAATTTAAAAATTAAGATTGTGTGGCAGCTTAATTTTCAAAGTTACTTTAAAACTTTAAAGGATTTTCACACTCTAATTAGAGAGTTCATAGTGCGAAAATCATCTACCTTGCTGTCAACCATAATTAATTGTGTCCATAAAAAACTTTAATTAATCAATTGAATACAATAATTTCAATTAACTACCTATTGATATAATTGCGTTGATAGAAATTCAGAAGATAAGTTATTAAGGTCAAAAGATAAATTATTAAGGTCTTGCGTTATTAAGGTCTCACTTTCAATCTGTGTCTATGTTATGAGACCAAAAAAAAAAAAAGAACAAAAAAAAAAATCCCTTTCCTCGATTCCAAACTTAATAAAGTCTATTAAGCAAAGAGACTAATGCCAAATGCCTGTGAAAAGTACGAACCTCTTTAAATGTGCCATCTCTCTTCTAATAACCACATCATATCACTTTCTGTATTACCGAGTAGTTGTTTGTACCTTCCGTTGTGTTCAAAAGTGTCACATGATCGACCTTAATCTTGTAACATTGACCATCAACCCTTCAACTTCATCTTAGTGCATCTTAAAATAAGAAATCGCTGCCACAGGGGCATTAGTCGCATTACCGGTGGCTTAGTCTTATAAGGCTCATTTATTCCACGTTAAATTCGAATGAAAATGTAATTGAGTATAAATTCGAATGAAAATGTAATTAAGTATAAATGGGTGAGTATACGACACTATTTAACAATTTGAGCTTTGGATAAATAGACAATCGCCCACCCGTAACAGTTGGTATCAGAGTCAGATCTAATTCTTGATCTAGTGCCACACCAAGCACCCGACCAGGAAGACGTCCGGGTGAGCCACCTCGGATAGGCAGGGTAGGTATTGCGAGTTTGGGTGGAAAAAAATGTCATAAGAGTCATTTGTTCCATATTGGATCCGAATGAGAAAGTGATTGAGTATAAATGGGTGGGTATGCAGCACTATCCATCAATTTAATTTTTTGGATAAATAAACAAGCGTCCACCCGTTACACTTAATTACTAAAATGCCTAATTCCTCAAGCGGATATTTCCGTGTTCGAGTCTCCCTCTCCTAATTTGTGGCCACAGTGATATCGTTCACATCATGCTCTTTCTTATGTTTATTTTCCAACATATACATCATAGGCCAAAAAAAATAAAAAATAAAATTGGGGTCTATATGTTCAACTCACATTTTTTTTGGTAGGAACATCGCTGAATTGGGCCATTCCTCATAGTTTATCGGATTGGTAAGTCTAGGATATTGGGTGGGTAAAAGAAAGTAGAGAGAGCCTTAGAATCCAATTAATAATTACTAAAGAAAATACAAAAATTTAAATTATTAATTAAATTTATTAATCAGAACCCTCAGTACACGTGGGCCAAATTTAGAATTGAAAATGATACTGTTTATGAAAAAATAAAAAACATAATAGAACTGTTTAAAATTTTTATGGTCTTATTAAATCTCGTTTCATCACAAGATTCATGTGGACAGAGATAAAAACTACTAGATGGGATGTCTTATCTACGTCTCAAATTTTAATGGATGATCGGTCAAACTGAACACATCCTCAAACTTTAATGGGTCTAATAATATTTTAATTTATAATTGATATTTAAACTAATAATCATAGTCAACTTACTAAGATCTGATATGGGATTATATATATATGTATGTATATATATATGTATGTATGTATATAGAGAGACAACATTTACTTTGAATGTTGGGACTTGGCAATCCTTTTGGAAATGTCCGTGCACCGCATAAGCCAAGACCCCACATCTGTAAACCACACAAACTCTCTACGTAATACATTCTCACTATGAAGTTGGACAATGTCACACACTAATCTTAAGGCATGTGTGTGTGATTGTGATAACAATTGTTGTTTTTCACAAGTTTGTCACAAAAAGAAAAAATTTTCTTTTTGATAAGCATGTCTATATGGTGGCTTTTGTATTCTCTATTCATGATATGACTCCCCCGTGCTTCCAAAGAGACATTGTAGAGAGAGACTTTTGTCAATTATTTTTGTTAACTAGACTTGTGTGGTTTGTGGGCCCACACATGACAAAAATGGGACCCTTCTTCCATCGAACCATAGAGAGAATTTTTAAAAGAAATCTTCAGATGGGGTTACACTAATGAGTTCTTTTGGCCGACAATATCTTGCTTTTTCTTAGTCTAATCCATGCCACTATGAGTGGATACCATACAGCATGATCTATCATTAAGATGGCAACTAAGACAGTTGATTGTAATATATATAACTTTATCTTATGTTTAATCATTTTAGAGAGAGACTTGAATAATAGTACATGGTATATATACCTTATGTTGAATACCATATAACATTAACACACGTACTAGCTAATAGACCAAGGATTGTTCAGAAATTGGAAGATCAAATAGATTAAGTACTGTGCAAAAATTGAAAAGCATCATGGGAGGTTGAATATCATACCACCCTTGGCCAAACATTCCCTACGCAGACTTAAACCATCATATAAAGATAAATGAGATACCGCTAGACTGCCAACTTTGACACTTCAACCAGATTTGAGAAAGCGACGGAGACAGAGAAAGCACCACTAGGGTTGCACAAATAATTCATACTGTATATCTAATATGGTTCAATTGTTCTACGTTTTTTCATCTGCCCAAAGTTTGACACCAGGTCTGCTAGTTTACAGAATCTGCATGGAGCTGTCACCCACTCAATCAAGTTCATGATTATACTGAAAACGACACGTTTCTAACAGAGTCTGTCTATCTGGTATGAGGATCAAAGGTTCCTGAGAGCTGAAAGCCTAAAAGAGAATAATATGACAAGGAAGAAGAGAGATTGGCATTAGCTGGCTGGTGAAGTACTAATGCATATGCCAAAAGCAAGCAAAAGAGCAACAGTGTATCATAGCTTTGCAATGTAAAGAATACATTTATAAGATACAAGACAATCAATACATTTCACTATTGTTCATGTGACAAGCCATCCCAAATTGATCACTAGCTGCCAACTCTGGATGTTCCACATCTATCTACAATTTTGGTAAACCAGATTTGCAATTCTACTTAAATTGCAGTCTGGTATGGTATTTCCCTTTGTGCAAATTAGGATTACCCAACTTTCGTCGGAAATTAGGTCTGACACACGGTTAGGGATTTAGCCAATGCTAGAGTTGGTTCGAATTGTTTTCTAACAGAACCAACTCAAGGTTGTATAAATGTATTATAAGCATTGATCAATGAAACACAATGAGTATATTATGACTGGAAAAAAGGTAACAAAGCTCTAGAAATTGTCCATGGTGTTTCTTTTGGAAGATTTTGACTTTCGATTGTCAATGACATTACAAAGCCGTTTGATCAAAAGTATCTACTAAATACTTTAACTGCAATCTCAGGAGAACAGATGTGATACAACTAGATACACAAAAAGTCCATTTCTAAATTAATAAAACAGGTTTAGTTATTCGAATAAGATCTGGCTGTAACATGACCAGAGCGCGCTGGTCATTCAGAACTTCTGGATTATGACAGAATTGGCAAGACTTGCCTGCTCAATTGTTTGGGTTGGATCAGTGAGTTGCTTGGGCGGGAAGCCAACGGTCTGCAGCTGATAGGTCCTGTTAGTCCCAGGCCTAGATGCATCGATGAAGGCACGAATATTAGCTATTGTGTGGTGGTAGTTGAATCGTGCAATCATGCGGGTTCCATCAGCCAACCTGAGCTGAATCGAGGTTGTTGGTCTTGTTTCATCCACAACTATGCCCTCAGAAGGGGTTGGATCAGTGCTGGGAGGGGTGTCAACATTTGGCTCAATTTCTGCTGGAGAATTGTTGCTACCTAGAGTCCTTCCCACACCCTGAAATGGAACTTGTTGCTTTTCAGGTTCCTGCAAGAAAATTTAAGAACAAAATTTTAGGTGAAGTTCATGTCCTTGAGATGATAGTAGAGGATTGACCTATGTGTTAGAAGGTGTATGGGAAGGTGCATGTATGCATTTAACTTTGTGTAATATGAAACAACTATCCATCAGAATACCCTGACTGGATATTTGGTTGTAACCATTGGTTTATTCTTCAGAAACCTACTAGTTCGAAAGCAAAAGTAGTACTTCGAATATTTATATATCTTACCCAAATAAAAAGTTTAATAATATTTAAGGACTTACCGGGCAGTTCTCATCCCTTCTTATGAGATTGACATGAACTGAGGATCTCCTATCTTCAGGCTCAAGCTCTTTTGGACACTCAGACTTTCTAATGCTCTGCATTGAGGATTGATCGAAACAGAAACACAAAACGTTAGACAATCAGTCAGTTGAACATGAAAGAAACAGCAAAAAAGATGAACAAGAAAGAAACAACAAAAAAGACGATCATGAAAAGAAAAAAAAAAAAAAAAAAAGTGATGGAGATTTATCATGCAAATACTGGCTAAGAAATATCATTTTCAAAATAATATATACTTTAGGTTCTAGATCCAAAACAAAGTCACAAGTACTAAAGTGTATACGCTCAGTCATTTTGATCATGCTTATAGAGATATTTGTCCCTAATAAATTCATCATCATCATAATAATAACATTTGGTGTTAAGTATATATTAACTGCTAAAACACTACCAACAACCTATCAAATAATCATATAACATCATTACACCTACAATCTGCACAGCGTATATAACATCATTGCACCTACAATATGCACAGTGTGTGAGGGTGGGGTTCTAATCTTTTTTTAGTAAGCATTAATCCTCCTGGTAAAAGGAATCTAATCCTCGGTTGATATCACCTCCAGGAAAGGCGCATTTTCAGGATCATCCAGCCTCCTCAAAGGGCCATCATTTATGGTGAAACCATTTCTCCAAAACACAATATTGTGAACTACAGCCTCAGGCTGTTGAGGAGTTGAAGCTACTGTTTCCCCTGACAGTAGTCTTCCAGTTCCCGTAAAACTTCTCGAGCTTGAAGATGGATGGAGATTTTCTAGAGGCCCTTCCACAGCACCCAATTGCCTCACCTGATCAAAAATTGCATCCACATCATTCCCCTTTGTAGGATCTTGAACGAGCATACCACTGCAAATATCATGAAGTTGATGTCAGCCGCCAACCATTATGCTTTATACAAGTTAATGCGAACCTCCAGAAATATCTTCATCTTCTCTAAAATAATCTTACCGAAATCTTACAAGATATACTGAAAATAGTTATGAATGAACAAACAGATGAATGGAAATAATGGACATAAAATAAGTAGCTTAATAAGTTTGACATATGGTTATCTAAATGGAGTTGTATGGAAATGAGACATCAATCTGCCCCTCAACTATTTCCTTAACAATCACCGTGCTATTTCACAACTTGTTGAGTTTAACTTCAAAAATTGATAATCATTGGCTAAGAAGGGTGTATGGGCGTGATTAGACATTAGTACCAACCCTTTGATATTTTGACTCTACCTCTCTCCATGGGAAATTGCTATGTCAAACCAAAAAAATTATTGCATCCAACAAAAAAAATGTCAATGATGAAAAAAAAATAGTCAATGCAACAACATAAAATTTAGTGAGTAGAGTAAGTACACATAGGAATGGACATATTCTATTCTATTTTAAATGAAAAGCCCAAATTTTGAGAACTGGGATATAGTAAATCTTCAAAAAGATTCAATATTTAACGTTTTGAATATTTTGCTGATTTTTTCTAGGGTCGTGGCAACTATGAGAGCAACCATTCTTGTGCAAAATAATGCCAAAAGTTAAGTATTTCTTTATTTCTTGAAGTAATTTTCTTCTTTATAAGAAGCAAAATAAAAAACGAATTAAAAACCTATAGAAATAAACATTTTAGAGAAAGATTTAAGTAAATAACCAGTGTGTAACAACAACTCAACTTATTACATAGGACATATTAAATTGGAAGTTTTTGCTCAATCAATTTCAATATACCTAATTTTTTAAAGTAAAATAGAGAACTTGTATATTTGAACAACATACCAATAATCCCCACTTGTAAAAAGAAAATTAGCCTCGCTCCCGAAGAGTACCTCGACAGAATATAGTTATTTTTTATATACACAAAAAGCCTACTCCTGTCAACAAGATTTTTAGTATGTACTGTTCCCATTCCATTCCATGCACCACAAATATTTGTGTTACGTCAATATCCACCCAACACATGCTTTGACAGACACTTTCCAAATTATAACACAATGCACTAATACACATATAAATAATCCAAATTCCACCTGATCAGCAAATATTACACAAAAGAACCAAAATTTATGAAATCACAGCTGCCTATGACTGACTTTATTTAGCTGGACTAACAATTTTTTATTCAATAGGTGTTAACCAACAAAGAAGGAAAAATAAACACTACCTTCTTTAGGTTGGCAATGATGAAAATCAGATTCAACTCTAAAGTCTAGCCTTTCAATTACTCTTCAGCAACAGTAAAGTAGACATGTTGGAATGCACCAACTTTTAAATTACCTTGTGTAGCTCCGTACAATTGAAATGGTTTCCTTTCAACCTATTAATGCCTCCTGCTTCTTTGCTTTTGTTATGGGTGTGGCATTTTGGGGCATATTTTAAAGAATTGTCCATCATCGACGACGGAATTACCCACCCACTTTCTTTCTTTTGGTCCAGGGCTGTGTATTGAAGGTCCTATTGGCAAACTTATCCACACCTCTAGGCAAATCCCTCGACCCACCAACATCGGGTGTTGGGAGGGGAATTAGACACTGGGAGAGGAATTGCCCAATTTTCTTTTTGGTTGTAGGTTTTTGTGTGTGGGGAGTGTTCAACCCTTGTGCCCTTGCCTATACAAGAAATATGACCGAATGTCTCTTCTCTAGTTTGGCACCCTAAATTGGACTCCAAAATAAAAAGAACATTTAAGTTAAGCCAATTCCTATATTACTATGCGCGTAAGTTAACAACAGAGAACCCCAAGGGGTAGGCTCAAGTAAGTAAGTCACTTGGCCCTGGTGCCTCAGGAAGCATTAGGTCTAAGGTTTGACTCCTATTGGGTTCAAACAATTCCTTGGCGAGGGGGGCCGGGGAGTTACCAACTAATAACAGGGTCTCAAATCATAATATTACTTCAACCACAAACTGACCCAACCATCTCTTTTGCTTTTGTGGAGTCAGGAACATATGCTTGTCCTTTATTGTTCATTTTATTCTATATCTTTTTGGTTGTGCGTTTTTGTGTGCGTTGGGAGTGAGCGGTGTTCAACCCTTGTCCCACACGTATATATGACATTTGATTCAGGTGTCAGCCTCAGCCCAATGAAAAAATCCATTTGAGGGCTTCCATCTAAAATAAAGTTATCTTCCTTGCCCCAAAAAACAAACTCAGTGGAACCAAATTGCTATAAAGTCATCCAACTTAAGGAGATGCCATTCCATAGGATAAAGAATCTGATCATGCAAAGAGCCCCGTTTCAGGCAATCAAACATGACCATTAGAGTTATATATTAGTGGTAGCCTATGAAGCATGAATACATTTATAAAGGGTTGTACCTGTATCGAGTCTCAGATACTTCAAGAGACATATTTAACAAGCCTTGAACATTCAATTAAAGCTTTTGCCAGTATAACAACATGATATAACTGTTTAAAGATTCTTTCTTCAGAAATATATTGACTAATTTAGTCTAAAATATATTCATGAAGCATAACTCTCAACTCTCATCTTGTTTGGCACATTTCTTTTAAAAAGAAATGTTAGGGCCTGTTTGATTCCTACTTCAGCGCTAAATGCAGAAGATAGTAAGTGATTTTTAAAAATAAGTGCGTTTGATATAATTTTAGGATACCGCTTAATATGGTAGGTACCGCTTAAAAGAGGCCAAAATTTTAAGCGAGAAGAGGGTTGCTTATCGCTTATCACAGAAGACGGTAAGTGATTAGGTTTTAAAACTATTTTTTTAATGACTACTCTACCCTCAAATAATCACGCTCTCTCTTCTAGACTTCTCTATGCAATTTCTTTAAAATTCTCTTTGTGATTTCTCTCTGCATCTGGAAATAGAGTGAGTTCTCTCGTTAAAAAACTCTTCTATATATATTTGGTTGGTTGTTATTTATTTATTTTACATTATAGAACAAATTATTTAAAAAATATATAATTTTACCAAATTTCCAAAATAATAATAATAATAATAATTCTACGTATTATATTATAAACACGTCTCTTTGGTTACCTATTCAAATTGATTTAACACCAGTATTTATATAATAGAATTCTATTTATAGATAAGAACTCTTTTTCACCTACTTTCTTTAATATTTTTAACATCATTTTCTATACCATACATAAATATTATATAATCCAAAGCCTATATATTTTAAATTTTTTATCACTTATTTATATAATAGAATTCTATTCATGGATAAGAAATCTTTTTCACGTACTTTCTTTGTAACACCCTTTTCAATACCATACATAAATATTATGTAATAAAAAATCAATATATTTTTAATTTTACTTTCTTTAATCTTATAACACCTTTTTCGATATCCTACATAACAATTTAACAAATATTATGTAATCCAAAACATATATATTTTAAATTTTACTTTATTTAATCTTTGTAGCACATTTTTCGATATCCTACAATGTTATGTAATCTAAAATCCATATATTTTAAATTTTCATCAATTATTTATATAATATAATTTGATTTCTAGATAAGAATTGTATTTTTTCTGATTATTTGACATTATTATTCATTGTTAAATTAAAATATTTCATTGAGTGAATTAATGTTTTTATAAAATATAAAATTGTTATGAGTACCATATATTGAGGGCAAAAATGTAATCTGTACAACTTTCAGACTTCAACTTTTGTATATAACAAACAATCTTAATGAATTCAGTACTTAAAATTAAAACATTATCAAACGGGTTTTCAAATTAATACATTCTACACTTAAAATTTCAGCGCTTAAAATTCAGTATTTAAGATTTTCAGTGCATAATTTTCAGTTTTATCAAACAGCACCTTAGTAACAATACATACGACATGACAAACAATAATATTTTAAATTTATACATAAAAATATATATAGTCTTAATTTATACATATCTATATATTCACATTTTATGTTGCTCACATCCCGTATCCATATCCATGCTTCATAGGTGGTAGGAAACAGAGCCAATGAAAGTTCGTTATGAGCAATAAGGCCAAAAAAAACTACTGATCATGTGATAATTAATTTTTAACAAAGAAGATGATAAAACAACCAACATGGATATCACAGGTATTAACAACTCAACAAAGGGGTATTGACACATGCCATGATTGTCATGATGTATGATGGCTGAAGGAGCGAAAACATAAAGTGATGTAAATTGTGTAAAATTAAAAGACTTAAGTGAAGAAAAAGGGTATGTCCAGATCAAAATTTCTCATCTAAACCTAAAAACACAGTCTTGTCACCAACACCGATCATAGAGCCCAAAAAGGCCAAAACAAGTACTGCAAACATTTGTTTGGGGTTTGTTCAAACAGCAATAATACCCCAAATCTAAGGATGTCCATAACATAACTAAAATGAAGCTTATAACTTTCTAGCCAAACTTCTTATAGAATCAATAGAGTCCTACAAATCATAATAACAAAGAAAGGGTGTCTAAGGATGTCCTTAACAGAACTAAAATGAAGCTTATAACTTTTTTGCCAAATGTACTATACAATCAAAATAGTCCTAAAACACACAAATTTTTTATTTTTTATTTTTAAAAAAAAGTTATCTAAGGATGTCTTTAACAGAACCAAAATGAAACTTCTAAATTTCTTGCCAAACTTCCTATAGTCCTAAAGCACATAATTGAAATATATATATATATATATATATAAGATGTCAATATTGTTACATCGAATTGTTTAATAAGTAAGAACGAATTCGATTTCTAATTCAACCCTGAAATCTACAGAAGAATCCACCTATTCATTTCTTACCCCCAAATTTTTCAGCAACAAAATTAAACCGCAATTGATCAATAAATAATCGAAACTGTTGCGTGAGATTTGATTCTCAATGAAAATGAAAGGAAAATGAGAAAGAATGGTGAAAAAAATAGGGTTAAGAGAAGTAGACCTCTTCTCGCCACCAGTGTAGTACTCTTGAGGGGCATCGGAGTCGCTGTCGTCGGAGTCGTGGCCGGAAGGGCGGTTCAAATCGGAGAGGGTTCGGATTCCACCGGCTCGGCTGGTTGAAGGTTTTGAAGGTTTCTTGTCGCGAGAGGCCATCGATGTTTCTGAGATTGAAAAGCTAGCTAACAGAGAGACTTGAGAGAGCAGTATTTTTACATACAACGAGACGTTTATTTTTTTAAAGAGAATATTATAATATTTTATAATGGTTCCCTTCTATTGCTCTCGATTATTCCAATCACGGCCTTCAAAGCGCGTGGGTACTACTTATTCATCCAAATCCGGCTAAATTTCACTTAAGATTTGTCAATAACCTCTATATATTTTATAATTCTACTTAACTCCCCTAAAGTTGTACTTAATACAACATATTTTATAGAATGTTAGTTTTGTTATTCTAATGTTTGAAATGATAACTTTAACCTTATTAATTTATTGGCAAAATGATAAAATAATACGCTTATCGAGTTAGATGATCTTCACTATCAAGAGAGATAAGTGTGATTATAAAACATATGGAGGTCTATGTATAATATTGATAAAATTCAAGAGAGGTGTGTAGAATTTATCTTTATTAATTAATGTAGATAAATTTAACTTTTATGTTGGAACACTGCAATATTTTTCACATAGGATAATGTAACTCATTCCAAATGTAAATTTGAATTTTTCATTAAGGTTGCAAGTTAGTGGTATTTCCTCACCTTTCAAAGTATCAGGTAGAGGGTTCAAGTTTCTTTAGGGACATGTGATTGTATGAGTGTATTTTTTGTTAATTAAAAAAAATTTAAAAATTTCTTTTATTCAAAATATAAGAGCAGAAATAGGGGTGGGACTAACCCAAGTAACTTGAGTCCTGCCCCAAAACTTAACTAGTGTGGGTAAACAGGTGTGGGTAAAGCATGTGCCAAAATGAGATTGAGTTTAAAATTTTAGAACTCGAATTTATTTTGGACGAATTTTGAGCAAAAAATTTACTAACATGAGCAATGTCCTGAAACACACACACACACACACACATAATATATATATATATATAATTTTTCTGGCTACATTCTATTTATATAAATTAAGGTTAACTTTGGATGATTCATTCTATTTATATAAATTAAGGTTAACTTGGATGATTTACTCTTTGATCCCATAATATTTATTGGTGTTTTGATTCAATAGTTTTACTGGCGTGTCCTAATTTTTCATACACCACCCTTGCATAGAAAATGTTTTTGTAGTTGTTACGACTTAGGAATGAATATGTTATTAGAAAAATAAGACTTTATACAACAAAATGTAGAGGAGGTTTAAAGTGTATGAAGTTGTCACTTAACATTGAGTTTTAACGTGATATGTCATCTAAAACATGTGATAATGAGTGAATATGCTGACCTCATGTAATGACATACACATGTTCAGAGGTCTAATTATACATGAGGAAAGCATTAAGTCCCAACATATCCATACTTATATCATTTTCAATATTTTATATATTTCTCTGCGAATCTAATGTGAGACTCTTTATTACTTTAATTTTACTTGATATATGTTTAGACCTAAACTCTCATGCGAAGGTATTACATGTACAACCTACTTAAAAAATGACTTGGGTGATACAGGTAAGAAATGCAAAATTGAAACTAATCCTAACTTGACTTGGGTATGGAGTCTTTCAAACTTTTGTGGGGAGATTATGGAGTGTTTAGAAGACTTTAGAATATTGGATTAGTTCTGTTAAAAATTTTACTTTAGAATAGTAAAGTGTTTTATAGAGTAAAGGGAAGCCTATAAATATGTGAGAGTTTCGTTGATACCGACAAGATTCAAAATAGGAAGTCTAAGAATAACGGTCTGTGATTGGACTTCGATTACAAATGAGCACGCAAATTAATTTAATTAGCATAAATGATGATAAAATATAAAGCTAGTGAATCAACTATAAAAATATAGCAACGAAACACTTGCTCTAGCAAATGTTTATTTTCCCAATTAAGAAGCTCATTTGTAATTAAGCGCAAATGTTTCGCAAGTGCGTATACTATTAGCAAATTTTGTTTTGTTAATCGCCCAATACCAATCATAACCATATTTAAATTCTATCTAATTCAAATAACTTAATTAATGTAACTGATGAGCTAAAAAAAAAATTGAATATAAAAAAAATAACTGATTGCAACTTTAAAAACACTAATTGTCGGAATCAACTCATCCCAAGCACGTAACACACGAAGCTCTTCAATCTCGAGTCTAATTAACTATAGTCACCATGGCATATATAATTATATGGTATGTAGCCTCATAATTTTTTATTTATTTATTTTTTGTCTAAAAAGAGTTTGAACTTGTACCCTCAAAATATACCAGATAGAATACAGGAAAGCCTTGACAACACATCTACATTGATTTGCAACACTTTTGAGATCATCTCAGCCGAGAGCACATGTCAAAAATGAGTATGGTAACCTGAAAAATATAGGTGCTGGTTAAGCTTAACATAACACATACTACTAAAACCTTGTAAATCTAGCGCTAATATTTGAAAGGTATCATCCAAAATCAATTAACATAACCCAAAAGCATCCCTACGCATATGAACTTCCTCCAAGTGTAACCCCAATCAAGCATTATAATTTTAAATTTTGAAATACAGAAATTAACATAATCTACAAACTTACAACTAAACTAATTTACAAATCCCATCAAATTTCACCATTTTTTTTTTATTCTAAACAATAGAAAATCAGTTATGAACATTTATAAAATTTGAGTTTGGCAGAATTATCGTCAACTGACTCCTTGAACAGACCAACCCACCCGAGTCCCACCCCTCATAGATTCAATTCCCTATTTCAAGAAAATCGGACCTTCCCTTTTAGATTGGGCCTCATATGGCCACAAGATGGAGTGAGCCTTAGCCCTTGAGGTGGTAAGAATTACAGGTCTGAGTAAGGCCATCCATGACAACCACCATGAATTATTTTGTTAAAAATAATAATGTGGTCCAAAAATGTTGCACCGAAAAAAAAAAAAAAAAAAAAAAAAAAAAAAAAAAAAACCTCTCTTCATAGCTTTGGCTCTATAGCCTTTACTACATAATAGGTGAACCTAATTAACAACTAATGAACATAGATCCATGCTCAACATCTAGCACATACTACGAGTTTCAGTGCTACAAATAGGCAACCGTTTCATCAAATGTTACATGCCCAACAGAAAAATGAAAAGAACTTTTGGTAAGCTAACTGTTCAAACAAAAAAAATATCATATCACATCTAACTGGGGTTTCTTCGTCAAAATGTTCCGGTCTTTCTGGGTTGCAACACCATCTAGAGCTTTCTTTCTGTTCATAGCACTCTCAATGTACTCTTGGAGAGGCGGGAGAGACCCATGCACTGCTTCTTTATTTCCTTGGCCTCGAATAATCTATCAGGCATTGAGTTTCGTTAACAAAACTGTTTAAAGAACAATATAACAAGAGCAAATTTACTGTTTAGTGTTTACCTTTGATGCCCAGCGCCTCTCTGCTTGCTGAGACACATCCCTAATATCCCGTCCAGACATTCTGATTTCAGCAAATGCCAATGTTAAAGAGTGAAAAGCAAACCCCCACATATCAAAACAAACCCCAAAAAATGTACAATCATAACAACTGTCATGAGGTAGACCTCATAGCAGAGCATTACTCAACAATATTAAGTGTGGTTTACATCGAACAAAAACAAAGGAGGTTTGCCACATTCAAGCAAATGTCAAAGGTATAGAAAAGAAAAACAAAGAAAAGAGTCAAAAGTTTGAAACCATTGACGGTTATGTTGATGGGTGCATCATGCATGAACGTCTCGGCCTCTACACCAGCAGAAGGGGGAGTGCCGAGGAGGGGGTAATTGCAGAATGGTGTTTTTGACCTAACTTATGATGGCATCAATACAAGTTAATTGAATATGTCAAACTTACCCTTCAGTAATTGCCGCAAATTCAGCTAATTCGGATTTTGTTAAGTGCTTTGCATACTGAGCTGCTATTTCCTGGCGGTTCTGCCGATCAGGTAGGTCAAAACAAATCATAGAATCAAACCGACTGAAAGAAATCATTAGAACACGAGTTAGAAAACAATTCAGATCAGGGTATAACCATTGTAAGAAGAAAAATATAACCCCAGATACCTAATCAATGCAGGATCAAGATCTTGCTTTCTATTGGTTGCAGCAACGACCACTACTTTTTTCTCCTGCTCAAATCCATCAATCTGCAGCAAATTTTTTTTTTTTTTTGAATTATCATGGCCATAGCAAAAACTGCCTAACTTCAATACCAGCATGTTCACATGAATCAATGTCACAGTGAGAGAAAACACTTCCTTTATCTCTCACAGCATTATACAGGTATCCAGAAAACTCCAAATAATGCCACTACCAAATATATATCAGAAAAAAAAAAAATTAAAATTAAGAGAATTCGCCTCAACCAAATCCTATTCTGAGTAAAGGGAAGCAAGAAATAATGTTTGCATGGCTGGTTATTCATAGCAGTGTAAGAAAGGAAATCTAGGTAGCAGTCCCCCACTCGTGCATTAAACAACCACACACAGAATGCTATGTAAATTTTCATCAGTACAGGTTCACTGATGCTTTCTAGTGAAAAGTGGGAGAATGGTAACGGGAACAAGATCCTTCTGGCAAGAGGATTTCGCAGATACAACCACCACTTTGAACTATCGCAATAACACAAGTAAAGTGGCAGAAGGTCCCTTCTTGGACCTAAATCTAATGTGAACATTTTTATGTTCAGCAGCAACAAGCACTAGTGTAAGGCCATTAGGATTCCTATATAACCTGTCTCAGTAACACTGATAAAATTCTGCGTGTGGCTTCATGTGTTTCACTATCACGAGCAACAGCAAAAGAATCAACCTGTAATAGCAAAAGAACATGGAAAATTACATTTTAAAGAAACATAACCAGCATAAATGAGCAGAAAACATAAAAATAAATGAGCCATAAATATATTTCCCCACACACATGAATAGACCTTATTTACACCAATTACCTCGTCAAGGAAAATGATTGCACCATTAGGAAACTCGTTGGCAAGTGAAAACACTTTCCCCAACAAGCGTTCACTTTCACCATAATACTTTGACATGACAACTTCTAGTGGCACATATAACAATGGAACACCCTGCCAAGGCAGACCACAATTTCTTTATTTCAATCAACAATGAATTCAATGATTTTGGTACATAGATTCATGCAGAAACTTATACAATGCAATCGACTTCATAGAGCATGAAGAATCTAACATGATATGCATTTTGTTCATGTCAAAGCACACATCTTCATGTGCATATTAAAATTTTCAGTTTATCTGTCCACTGAAATGTTTAATTTCAGATTTATGCATTTTACCTATGTCAGGCGAATAGAACAGAAATTTTCCAGTAATCATTTATAGTCATTTTGCAGAGGAAGATAAAGAACACAAACTTGCTGCCTGTATAAACTCCTACATAGATTTGGGCGCTTAATAGTTTTGCACAAAATTATAACTAGTGTTTTTTAAAGAATATAAAAATGCATTTCTTGGGTTGGAAAATCATCACATGGAGGGAGAACAATTAGATGATGATTACTAAACTAGATCTATACACGACCACACATATATATATATATATTATATTTATGAGTATAGTACATGCCACCCAAAAAAGGGCTGCAGACCTAAAGGAAATGCCACTTTGGTTCTATTGTACTAGCATAACTAAACAAACCAAATTATTGTTTCATCCCAATCACTTGCTAACCACATGAAAGATGCCAAAATAGCAATATGAGGTAATTCGTGGTATCAACTTGCCTAATTGCAAGTGCCAAAAGAAATTACTTGCAAAGACAAACCTCCCTCTTAGGCCAAAAAATGCATTTGAAGAATGTTGCAATGCAAAGGCAGACTCAAAAATGTGCACGTTCACACAAACACGTGCACACTCATGCACGGACAGAGTGTTCACCAATATCCATTCATCAAAACATCCTCGCCATCTTGTATAGGAGTTTTAACAAAACTAAGATCCACTCAATATGTTGATTAGATAGAAAAAAAAAAAAAAAAAACCCTCAATATGGAACTCAAATTCAACAGATAGACCCAACCATAATCGATTGATATTTCAACTCAACCAGGAATATCCTTATCTGAATGTTACACTCCTAGCTGAAACAAAAATGAAAAAAAGATTACAAAATAAGACAGCCTAATATACGTAGAACTTAAATTTATTCATGTATAATACAGTCAATTCTACATCCATGACACCAGATAGCATGGTGGGAGGTAGAAAGGCTAAAATATCACCAAGTGGGTGGAACTATATGTAAGCAACAGCTAACAGAAAAGGAAGTAATATCTTTCGGAATATAAATTGAAAATGGTGTGCCAAATGGAATACCGCTTGATTGGCAATTACACGAGCGCTAGAAGTCTTCCCAGTACCTGAAATTAAATATGCATTGTGGGTAAGTATGTCATCCTACAAAACAAATTTAAGTGTCAGCTGATATTATAGATGCACCATTTCTCAAATTACTATTATGATGACGAGTGGAGTACTTGGTGCTAAGGGATCTCTCACCTTTTATTCAAGTAAAAGAATAACACTTCATAGAGGTATGAAATTTGATCACTGGACCTAACTGTCCAAGTGGAACTCAAGTATAATTGAAGATGCAACAATACATAATCTAGTTGTTCTTCAAATATTAGTTGCCAAAATATAGTTTTTAAATTTCATGAAGCCGATCAGTATTCAATTATTCATATTTATCTCTGACTAATATGCATCACATTGTGTGTGTTGCTAGATTCTTGATTTATCCTTCAACAAAGATACGATGTTGAGCATAATCACGCATAGGATTCAAACTCAAATTCTCCACAACATATTTTAATCAACCAAAGTCAATAATCCCAACAGCTTGAGAACCAACCACAACACAACCTGTTCCAATCTATTACCCCATACAACTATTGGCTTTGGTGGTTGTTAAAGTTAAAGCCCAAAGAATAGAAGCATAATCTTAGGATAGAGTATTTTTTAGATTGATTTTTATTAGAAAGCTGCAAACACGTTGCATGTCCCACAAAAGCATGTTAAAGAAACAGTTCCTTTGGTTTAAGCAAATCAACATAAAATACATGTTTGACAATATACTTCAATGCTTTATTGTGGATGGAAGGCAAACCTGGTGGACCTTCAAAAAGCACTGCCCGGGGTCTGTTTGTCTCAAACTTAGATCGGGTCCCACGAGCAATATCATCGTATACCTCGGGACTATGCAAAGCCAACAGTATTGTATCTTCTATTTCCCTACATGATAAACAATCAAATATAGGCATATGTAAGCACTTTCATGTGATAACATGTACCAGATCGATACATGATTGAATGTACACTTTGGTATGCACAGACAAATAATAGATTATTACATATTCAGAACAAAATGAATTCAGCTTATCGTACACCTAGGGACTCTTGTGACATCATAGCAACACAATAGCATAACAACCCACTCAAAGCTTGAATGATGCAGCTTTTTGAGGGAAAATATCTCGTCAAATAAAACAAAGAAGTGCAAATTTCATTAAATCAAAATGAAGAAGGGTGAAACTTTAGAGAGAGTTAAAGCGGCCCAAGGTTAATCCATAGCTTTAAGCGTTCCTCATCCAGTCAAGTACTCAAGCCTTTAATGTCCAGCTAAGCAAGAGACCATCTACAAGAATGATAACAATAACAAACTTACACAAGTCATGGATATATGCCAAATTTTGGGAAGCAAGATATGTCCATAGAAAAGTTGAAATATTGTTATTTAAATGCCAGAATTGCATAACTAACTTATGAACTGGTTACCCAAAGTTTAATCAAAGAAAAAAAATATATACTGCAAACCAAAGCAAAGTTTCAAGTTAAGGTCAAGAAAGATTATATGCTACCATAAAGCGTTAGAATCAATGTAACATTTGGAAGGAAAAAAATGTGTGGAAATGATGAAAATAAAGGGAATAAATGTTGAGATGATATGGCTTAGAGGCTATAAATCCTAGCACATCGCATACCGTTTTTGGTCAGTATACCCAGCAATATTATCCCATGATATGTCAGTTCTAGTCTCTCCCACAATGGCTTCATTGAGTCCATAAATTCTCACTCCCATGGCCTCTAGACCGGCAACTGATTTATCTGTAGATGGCATCCTTGAAGCCTCTCCTCTTGATTTTCTTTCTAAGGTTTTATTTTGTCCTGCTAGTTGTAACACAGATACCAAAGCATCAAGCTCCTTTTGACTAAAGCTCCCCTTCTTCAAGAACTCAATTTCCTGCACCCATTCATGCAAATTTATATTTAAAAAACTAATGGTAGACAAGTTTGTTTCTGGTGATAAATAAGTAGCTCACAAAAAGAAAGCCGGGAATCCAAAGGAAATCATGTTAAAATTTGCAAGAAATGGATAATAACTGCTTTATCAGAGCTAATGAGCGAACGGAACATGAGAATGCATAGATCTCCCTCGTGTGCATTTGTATCTTCTGCATGGCCTTGATCCCCACCAGTTTTCTTCTGTTGTTTTGGATAACTAAGTGTCAATTGCCAGCCAACAGCACTGTAACAGAGCACATTACAATCACAGCAAACTTTAGTTTCCATTATAACTAGTGCAAACAACTCAATTACAACATATGTTGTATTTCACAATCACCACTGACAGCGAAAAAAACAGAGGAAATTAATACTTGAACATAAGAAATAACTGATTGGCAAAAAAAAAAAGCCAATGCTAGGAACTAACCTATCCCAAGCCCGCAAAATCATATCTGATCCTGTACCACGCTCTTCAACCTTCAATCCAAGACGTGAAACCAAGTTGGCAACCAAGAGCGGAATTTCACAGGTAGGAGGAATTTGGAACTTAATTGTGACCTGTATGAGGAATCACTACGCAATCAACCCTCTTTTCTAAAGTTAAATTACAATCAACCTTCTTTTCTGAAGTTAACAATTCTGTCTTATATAGCCTACTATGGGAATTGCTATATTAAAAATAAATGGAAAAAAAAAAAAAAACAATTTGATGAGGAGATAAAAGCCAAAAAAAAACGAAAACAAGTTTTCTCGAATAAGGATTGTGTTTTTGAGTTTCTTCTAACTTGCTAAACAGCAGTGGCGGAGACAAAAATTTACATCAGTGGGGGCAACCAAAAAAAAAAAAAACAATTTGATGAGGAGATAAAAGCCAAAAAAAAACGAAAACAAGTTTTCTCGAATAAGGATTGTGTTTTTGAGTTTCTTCTAACTTGCTAAACAGCAGTGGCGGAGACAAAAATTTACATCAGTGGGGGCAACCATGAACAATAATAAGATACATTTTCTTTTTCAAAACTAAACAATAAATAATAAAATTTAAATATTGATTGATAATATTTAGAACACCTTTATAATTGTTCCCAACAAGTTTTCATCTCATAAAAGGCATCATTCATTATCAATGCCAATAAATATTTTCCTCAAGATATACAATCAAACAATCTATTGATGTTAACCAAATACTACTCATTTTCTTTTCCAAAACTAAATATATTATTTTGAAGAAAGAACTATATTGACTAACAAGAAGGGGATTAGAGTTTCATTCACATTGGCTTAAGATCGAGAAATCTAGTGAAGAAATATTTTTATAATTTCATGCTTTGGTTTAGAAAGAGGTTGAGAGGGTAAAAGTGAGAAATTGATGGCCAAAATAGAGAAGATAAAATTGGTGTGTCATGAGAATTAGTGGCATAGAGATTTTGGGAAAGAGAAAAGAAACCCTCAATACGAAACAACTTTTAGTGGGGCATTTTTACGATTGTATAATAATATACAAATAGTAGAACAAAAAATAATAATAAAATAAAAAAGCAGTGGGGGCAACTGTCCCCACTCAGTTGTATACATGGCTCTGCTACTGCTGTACAATAATGCTTTTCTCTAAGATGTGAATATTGTACCAGTAACATAAAGAGAAGCAATAGTGACATATACATAAAAATTAAAATCAATAAGATACATTCATTTGCCGTTTCTAACTAAAAACTTTAGCAAAATTTTTATAATGGAAAACCCAATTAAATGTAGTCACCATGCCACACAAAATAATTTCAATGTAGCCTCAGATTTTTCTTGGTGTAAATATTGTAAAAAGAGAATGAATTTATACCCTCAAAATATACAAGATAGAAACCAGGAAAGCCTTAACAACAAAACTATGTTGATTTGCAACACTTTTGAGCTCTGAGTTTAAATATGTGTCTATAATTCAATGTTTCCGCCAAAACTCAATCCTGAAATGGTAGTTGTGATGGGATGACCTTCAACACAGGATTGTGCAACAATGACTCTATGACAACAAAGGGGTCTAAAATGTGTATGTCGCAATACCACTCAAAGTATGGCCAGCAGTGATAAAATTATAAAGCCACGTATTAAAAATAACTTTGGATTGAGAACTCAAGCATGGATCAAAAGGTACTTTACAACTCTCTAGTATTTGCACACATAAATGAGGATCACCAAGGCACATTTCCTGAAGTATTAGTGAGTCATTAGTTCACCTATTAGCTAGAAGGTAGAAGATTCTCATCAGATGTAAAGTGACCTGGGTAGACTTAAATATAAACAAGGTGACTAAGCAAAAGTCTGATATATAATCCACAGAAGACTCAACTCTTAAAATCCGCCAGAAGGTATTAAACCTGAAAAATACAGGCACTGCTTAACGTAACATATATATATATACACACTAAAACTTTGTACATCTGGCACTATTTAAAAGTTATTATCCAGAATCATTTATAAGGTTCCAAGTTTCTCTACCCAAAAGCATTCCTATGCGTATTGTCTTGTGAACTTCAAGTATCCTCGAAATGCAACCCCAATCAAGCATCAAAATTTATAATTTAAAATTTCAAAATGTAGAATCAAACATAAGCTACTGACTAAAAAATACTTTAGGCAGCTTTTTAAAAGAAAAAGATGCAGTAACCTTTTGGCCCTTAACAGCAACGGTGAACCGGGGATAAGAACCATATTGCATTCCTTTGCTTTTGAGCAACTCTTCTAATCGATGTCGTTCTTTCTTGGCTGCTTCCTCTAATTCATCATAACTTGAAGATTCGGGTGGCAAAGGTTTAGCAGGGGCCTGAGAAAAATAAATCCACATCTAATTCAAAATATGGCCTTCTACGTGGTAAATATTCATACAAACAAAATGTGGTTCATAATCTATCAGTGTGATGCTATTTCAAGAAATGAAAAAAAAAAAAATTTAACAGATTGAAGCACAAAAAGGATGACAGCACAAGACACATTCACACCCTTTACTAGCATGACTAGCAACACCTTCAAAGCAAAAGATGCAAACAAACCTCATCAGCATCTGCATGAGCTATGTCTGCTAGTCCAAATCCAAATAATCCAGCTATGATAGCTGAAATAGAAAACAATCCAGGAATGGCAGCCACTGATTTTGGCCGCTGACCTTCACATGCATAGGTATGGATATGGTGCTCAAAAGATCCTGCACATGCCAGTTTAAGTATTAATATATACGTAAGCAGTAAGAAAGTTTTCCAACATTAATATAAAATAAGCCGCAAGATAGTACACAATAAGAGGATTTTGTGAAAATAGATGTAAGACCGAGGAAGCTATTAGGTTATAAGAATTTTAGAACTAAAAGGGAAAATCCCAATTCATCCTCCAAGTTCAACTTTATTTTCTCTGCTCTCAGAGAGCTAGGCCAAATAAAATTTGACCCTTCCATTTTGGTTTCCTTTTTCAATAGTATTAATAGAATTAATTAACAGTTTATATATATATTTCCTGTATTGAAATGTTTGCTAATAATTTCACCACATATAGAGGAAATTATAAACTTGAAATGGCTTTAAGAATGTCTGGGTAACTATTTTGTGATTATGCAACAATACAAAAGAAACAGTTCATTTTGTTATGCACATGTTAAGGGCAAAAGACCAATTTATATCATATTAAACTGATTTTTTTATTTTTTTTATATTTATTTATTTATTTTATATAAAATTGAAATTTTCAATATCAAATTTGATTCCATACATTCTCTTAGAGGGAGTTATTATCTATTTTAATTTAGAAACCTTAATGTATTTGCTTAGTTTTGTTAATAACAACTAAGAATGTCCATTCCTACGTAAGCCAATGATCATCAAACTCTGCTGTAAGTGCTCCGATAATCAAATTTATCTCAAATTGATCAAAACAAAAACTGATTACACAGTCTAAATATCAACAATTCTATTTAAATCAAATCGAACAAATAAATTTACGGAAAAAAATTATATACATATATGTGTGTGTAGCAGAGAGAGAGAGAGAGAGAGAGAGGGGTTTACGATAAGAGAGTCGGTGTTGAAGGTGTGGTGATGGAGCGTAAAGAGGGTTTAGGGTTTTGTGACAGGCGAGCGTACGGCACTTCTGGACTGTCCTGGAAAGTCGTCCCAGTCTCATTGCTGCTGCCATGGAGTCTACAGTCTGCTTGCTTCTCTTTGTCACTCTTAAATATCGAGTAATTTGATCAGTCTGCCATATATACGTGTTGTTCACACCCAAGACTTTCACCAAATTTGAGGGGCATATGCATGAAGAAAAGATGACACACCGACTCTGGCTAAAAGAACGACACACCGACTCAGAGTCTTCGATGGTCGATCTAGTACTATTTTTTATTTTATTTTTTCTATCATATTTCGTAATTTCAAAAAAAAAATTAAAAACAATTTTGGACTGCCAATAAATTCAACCTTACTCGTATGGAGACATATAAGTCCTGAGTCTCCCGACATTTAGAATTTTCTACTCTTCTTTCTCTTCTTTTTATAGCAAAGATAGTACACTTTAATGATAGATGAGGGCCCTATTATAATCTTACCACTAAATAACGGATAGGGTTGAATTTATTTGCAGGCTAAAATTATTTTTAAAACTAATGACCATAATTATTTTAATTTGAGATAAATTTGACCGTGTTTTTGGTAAGATCTTACCACTTTATAATAACTTGTGTTTTTGGTAAACAGTTGTCCAAACTAACTCCTTCTGGAATTGCAATATTTTTTTTTTTGTTTTAATGGCTAATTGAAAATAAATATTGCTAGGAATTGTAGTATTCTATTTTATTTTCACTATTTTTTCATGATATTTTAGAATTCTAATTATATAATTATTAAATTTATGCATAAAATTGTTAACGATGATGACACTTGACTGTTTAAAAGGATTTCTTGAGGTTTTTTAAATAATTTAAATTTTACCTCAGCAACAACTTGGGATTAAAAATCAAGTTTTGAAGGGCAATTGTTACCTTTCTTTTATTACAAAAAAAGTAATTTGTAAAAGAATTTTGGGATTAAAAAATCATATATGTCAATTGATAGCATTGTGCTCCAAACCTCACAAAAAGAAATTTGTTACTATGATTTGTAGTGCAAAAAAATAATCTCCGTGCCTTTTTTTCCTCCATTGGCGCTTATCATATGTAGATGATTAAAAGATGAAGCATAAAACATGGTATTGGCTAAATGTCATGGGTTCTTGTCCCGCACCAGCACCAGCACCAGATTCAAACGGCGAGAGTCTAACTTAGAATGGCTTACAGGCAACACCAACACCACCTAATAGTTTAATTTTTTTGGGTTAGATGGCAAACGTAAGAGCTGTTACTCTTGCAAGATCCAACCCTCAAGAAGAGGGACCCAAATGGAACAATTAAAAAACACGGCTACAAAATTTGCACAGCAACACAGAATGGACTGACATGGAGCTTCAATTATTCAACTTCCAGCAAATGGAGCAGAAGAGGGGTGTCTCATGATCAAAATCCACAAAAGGTCAAGGTAATTGTCAGCATTCCAACCCCGAATTTTTTAAAAGAAAAGAAGAAAAACAACACCATAAATGATGTTTGAAGACCTCGCAAGATGCATCATAACTTGTGTAATTTAGAATTCTCATTCTAGGAGAATATGAAATTGCATCAGTGCGTCTAAGCTCCAACTCCAAGTTCCAACAATAGAGTGTTACTAAGAGAATCAGATGATGGACCAGTAAATTGTATCGGACCTGCAAACGAAAAGATCAACACGAATGTAGTTAAAAGAGGCAACTAAACACTGGATGAAATTCATAGGAATGAGAAAGGCAAAGCATACCAGGACTGATATATCGGTTCTTAAGGGCCCACTCTTCCCGCAGGGATGCAAATTTTTTGAATGGGGCACCTGAAACATTCATCGATTTCAATTATATTTTGGTTGGTTCAGATTTATGCAAGTCAGGGTTCAAGTCAATTGCAATTAATTATTAATGCATTACACCATAAAATTTCGTTGCATCCAGCAACACCAAAAATAGATAATCAATTCCACTTAACATAAGAAGCATGTGATTGCAATAAAAGGATCTTTACCTTCAAGCTCTACCATTGCCTTCTTTATCACAGGCTTGAATTTACCTGCAACAGAAATTGATTTTACAGAAAAGAGTTGGAATTTTTATTACAAAAATTAACACGAAAGATTCAATTCAACTAACAAAAACGGCTACAAGATTGTGAAATTTCCATTTATATTCTCCCAAAGGAAAATTTCAGGAAAGAGAAAATAATTTGAAGCTTAAAAGTTCCATTGATATGAAATCCTAATGTTACAAATGGAACATGACATAACTAGTATGAATCTATTAATTTATCTAATAATTGCAGTCACAACACCAACAAAATATTGATACTTGACAGTATTATTTTATAAAAGGTGATTGTCGCTAAATAAAAGCTCAGGTTGACAAGCTTGAGGACACAGGTTCAAGTCTAAGGACACTAGCTTTGTGCAAAATAATACCAAAGATTAGGTCTATCTCCAGTCTTGGTTTTTTAGTATTCCGCATTAAGTTAGACCAGCACAGAGTAATGGCTTAGTGCAATGGCAAAATATGATATGGTTGGCAGATATGTGAATGCTGGTACAAGTACGAAGGCAGCCAATTTGAACAAAAATCCACGACATTAGGTCTGCACTCAATCTACCCATCATAAGCCAAATTAATGTATTCTGCCAGTATGCTTTACTGGGATAAGATACGCAAACAAAGGGGAAAAAGTGAAAAGAAAAATGAGAAAGAAAATCTTTGCACAAAAAGGCATCTGTAATATGATGAGAAGATGAGGGTTAGTTTACCGTGTCTCCTCTCCACGTCCATTAATGAAGTCAATGCAGTTCCACCTACAGTCCATTGTTCGATTGGAGCAGCCAAATTACCGACCTGGAAATGAATTCAAAACTAATCACATAAAAGTTTTTTGCCCAGATCTTGTGTCAGAGAATGAGCAAAAGCTTGAATTCTATAATATAGATTATCAATGAAAAACTAGAATAACTTTCCAAAAAATAATAAAATGTTTATACAGGATGGTAGAACAAACTGAAGAAGTACAAACCGATGATATCAAGCCAGTTCTGCCACTATGAAGTAGAGCTCCAGCACCGTAACCCAATGCATAACAGTATGCAGCATCAAAGTTAGATGGCAAACCACACCTCCCTTCGTACCTACAAAGTAATATATTATAACCCTCAAACCAAATCCTCGTGTTGTCACTTCTAATCTAAATCACTTGATTCATAAATGTGATAACTTATATAGAAAAATAAGTTTGGTACCCGAAAAAGTGGGACTGGCCTTTGAACTGGCCTTTATTTGCACCCTTCTTCTTTCTATGCTCCAATTCAGTTTCAACCATTTGAATAAGCATTTTCTCTGTTTCTATTTTGGCAACCTGGATAAAACAGACAAGGATATAACATTAACAAGTTGTCCAGCAGAAGAGAAAACAGTGAATCTGAACAGTAAGACATAAATACCTGCACATTCCCGTGTGGATCTCTCTCAAGCATCAATTGTTCCTGAATAGCTGGAGGTAACAGTTCAAAAAGTTTCAGAGATTGATCTTTAAGTTTCTTTTTCCATAGACCGCCTTCATCTACAGTTTCATGGGCCAAAATTTCATTCAGTTCTGCAATAAGCTGCTGCACCTGCAAATGACGCCAAAAATCATGCAAGAAATATATCTATCAAAATTACAATAAATTAATAATGATATTAAGACCATAGCAGTCCTAATGATTCAGAGAATAGTGCCCGACCATTGAAGAAGCAGGCAAGGAAAAAGAAATATATAAATTTTATGATCCAGAATTTTGCCTCGGGAATGAAATCAATAAGGCCTTCAGGTATAAGTATGACGCCATAGTTATAACCAAGTTCTGCCCGTTTACAAATCACATCAGCAATGTAGTCTGTAACATTTTTCAAAGTCTGCTTCTTTGCGGCAACCTGCAACAAAAAACAATCTTTTAAAGTAACATTTAGATGGGAAGCTGTTACAAAGATTTGACAATATTTGTCAAGTATATTTCAAATTGTGAGATGATGGGTGTGTGGGTTTCAAACAGGGAAAAAAATATGTACGATGTTCCAAACTTTTATCAATTACATATTTCTGACCAGTGATGGAGCTCAGGACATTGCTTGTACACATGAATTGCACATGACTCTCACCTATGCTTGGGAAATGGGCAAGGACGGATAGATCTAGAGTTTTTCTATATTTTTTTAGGAATTATAATTTGAGTTAGCTTTGCAATATTTCCCTTTTAATTAGAATTAGGACTAGGTTTGCCTATGAATAAGGTCTTCTGTCTTGCATCCAAGTTGGACTGAGCATAGCTATTTTACGGCACCAAACATAGGCCGGCTATATGTTTCACTAGGGCTCATGGCCCCCATTTTTGAATCTTCATCTTTGCAGCAGCTATTTTGGACATTAGGGTTCTTGTACTGTCTATATATACATGGGCATATATATTAAATTAGGTACCTTGATGACTATTGAATAATATTGAGTTGATAACAGATTTCTTCTCTCCTCTCTTCTTCCCTCTCTCTTCCTGACTTCTTCTCACTTACCTTCTCTCTTCTGGTTCTACATCGGTCTCTTTCTCATTCTATATTACAAAGACTGCACATACTTAGATCCCCAAAACTTTGGCGGATAAAAAACTCATAGATGATGGTGTTCCCGCAAGTTCTTATGTTAGGCAAACTTGGTGGTGCGCTTATAAATGCCCAAATTAACGACTCTCGGGGGCTGTTTAATAGCAGAAAAAGGTCGTGAGCTTAGTTGGAACCTAATATGGTAGAACCTTGTTTCTTGACAAATTGCCACTCTTGAGATTTTACTCATTTTTTAAAAAAATTAATAACTACTTGAATTTTTTAAGTAGTTTTGCCTACAAGTCAACCCAAAAACATAACTATCGACAATGATGGGAAGACATAATTGTTGATAGCAGCATTTAAGAAGTCCCAATCACTGGCAAAAGCTTAAGTTTTTAAAGACATATGTGTAGCTAAGCCAGCAATGTATTTGGAAGTGAACAAATAAATGAATAGAAGTACCTCTTCTCCAATAAGGGTAATGTTGGGATGAGTTTGTAAAGCACACTCTAATGTAATGTGTGAAGCAGCACGTCCCATAAGCCGTACAACTGCAAACAATTACAGATTTAGATACCACATTCACTTAGACTGTCTGAAAAAAGCAAAAATGTAAATGGCACAAAAAAACGAGTGAAAAAATAAAGAGTTGAAAAGACAATAAATTCCAGTTAAAAAATACTGAAAATAACAGATTATGCATAGCTTAGCATGAAAAATTATCAATGTCAAGAGAAAGCAAGTATGAAATGTTAAGAATCAAGAATTTATATGTTCACAGAATGAGCTGTGCTGAAATGAAAATTATGAGATATAAGTCTGTTTAGACAAGAAAAAATAAAATTTGAGATTTATGCATCCTTGAGAAGGCACAGATGGTAAGGAATAGCATGATAAGCAAAAGTTGGACGAGAAAGTTTCACCATATACAATAAAGATCAATGACTAAGACAGACTAGAGAATTATGTTGCATATGTTGACAAACTATAGGAACAACAAGAAGAAAAACAAATTGCAAGGCTTGGATTTATGAGGAAATATGACACACACACATTCAATATGGCATTGCCCAAATAAATGATTGAATAAGCTTTATGTAGCCTACTCCCTACATGTTTTTATTTATTACAGAAACCACGTGGGGCTGGAATCCTAGACATTTAGGTTGGACACTGCAACCAGATATCACTCACACTACTAGCTTGGAACTTAATTATAAGGGTAATTGCATGTTCGCTTGTTCCAATTCCAAAAACATATTTGGGGCATTTCACTCAAGGATTTGGAGGGGGGAAAAAAATACGACAAAGAAACCAGAATGCAGGGAAATCAAAGAACTGGATGATTCTGTATCTAATATGGATAAAAAAAAAAAAAAAAAAAGGGTATGCAAAACTGGAAAATAAGGGATTTTCACAACAACAACAACAAAAAAAACGGCTGATTTTATATCTGTACGCTGCTTCATCCTAAGATATCTATTCCTACTATAAGCATGCAGGGAAAAAACAGCATAGCATGCAGATGGTAACTGGTAAGGACCATTTAATTTGAATTCCAGGTTCCATAAACTTACAATGATAATATTTTCCAGTTGAGCGAGCATCTATCATGACATTTCCTATCATTTCTGCGTATATCTGCAAAATAACCACAAACTGATTATTTAGCACCGTATAAGTTATAACAATAGTCACATGGAGATTTAGTCTCCGACGACATTGATGACATTAGCAGATCACATCCTATATGTTGAATGAAGCATTAGAGAATGAGAACAGCATACACATTCAAATTTGATAAACAAAGAGCATATTATACGTGCTAACTTATCAAAATCCACAAAGTCCTAAAAAACAGAAATTCAGAAGGATATAATCATGGTAACCAAAAATTTTTGAAAATAGATATCCTTTTTAAAAATAAATCACCTCATTCTCGTAAATGGCTGGCCCAAAAAGTACAGAAACTAAATATAACATTAACCAAGCTGTAAAGAAAAGGACAAAGAATGTTCTGAAAATAGAGTTAAATTCTAGGATGTCAATCATAAATATTCCACTTGTAAGATAGTTGAAATTCGTAGATCGGATAATAAACACAACATAACAAATCCAATATCAAGTGCCTCAAGTTTTAGGTTATTTGCATGAATCAAATTAACACCACTATAGCAATACATCAATACTTGTCCATATAATTAACTTTATCCATTAATATTTGGGGATACAAATTAGATGCATAATTGTCGAATGGCAGGGTTAGAACACCTTGCATGCAGTATCAAATCCAAAACTCGTAGGAACTTCCTTGGATTTCAAGTCACCATCAATTGTCTTAGGGCATCCAATCACCCGAGTTTTCAACTTTTTACTCCTGAGTAGTAGAATACAATTAGTAAAATCATACAGTTGGAACACCGAACATCATATAAAACTATATAATCAGTACATAAACAAAATTTCAAAATTTGTAAATTCGGTTTTTAGATAAGAGTACAAATTTAAAGCTAAAATCAAATAAAATAACCAACCAGCATCTCTATATCGAAATCAGAAAATTCACCTAAAGTTTTCAGCAAGGAGACAAGCATTTGTGTTTGAATCATCCCCACCAATTACAACAAGTCCATCTAAATCAAGCTTCAATGCTGTTTCTTCAGCTTGCTTAAACTGAAATCATGCCCATGCAAACTTGGTAAGTCTTAACCTTGAATAGGCTAATATAAAAACTCAAACCTAAGCACATATGAGTTGTCTAAATTTTGTAACAATCATTCAGCAAAGATTCTCACGAAGCCAAAAAAACAGTGAATTACCTGTTCAGGGGTTTCAATCTTGTCTCTGCCGCTACAAATCATATCAAAACCACCCTGCCACGAGGGAAAGAAAAATGCAACACAGTTATGACCCTATCTTATCTCTTTGGACACAGCTTATGTCCCACACCATTCTGTTACTCACTTTCCACTATTCTACCTTCCATTTTTATGCCTTTATTTTGAAATGGAAGAATCTAATTTCGAAAAGTACAGTCATAGAGGAAAAATGGAATATTGCTGGATTACAGGACTTCGTGTTCCTGTCCTCTCCAAACAAGCAATCATATGTTGACTTTCAAATATTCATGATTGTATTTTGGATTGCATATTTCACTTCTCAAAATTCAATTCCATTCCATCCCAAAATTTACAATAAAAAACTGCATGCATATATATACACATGCAAAGATAAAAGGGAAAAAACAACAAATATAGATTCTATGACAACGACACATACAATTTTCTCATACAAACAGCACACCGCATGCAGTGGGCATGCAAACAAATTTGCCACATATATAGCTTATAGGTATAAGACTATCATATCCAAATGTATATGCTAACCAGATTACGATCCATTAAGTTAGTAATAACTAGCACAAGGCATATCATATGTAAGTATAATGTATGTTTAATTATTAGAAACCACAAATTACACTTGAAAAATCCAAACCTGGTTTCTGTATGGGTAAATATACTCTGAGTTCAGCACCACATATTTGCACTTCATGATCCCAGCTGGTCCGCCCCTGAATCCGTAGAGTGTGCTTCCTTTGCAACGGTCCTGCAAATAATCTACCAGAAACACCAATAAAATTGAATTCAATAGCAATCCAAACCAAATAAGATCCAATTGAGAAAAACTCATGCTAACCGAAAATCCCAGAAATAACATTGTGTCCTCCAGGAGCTTGGCCTCCTGACAATACCACTCCGATCTTCAAGTTCTGACCGGATGCAAACTCAGCAGATTCACCTGGTACCAACATTGCAGACGGCTGCCCGAATAGGCCCGGAAACAACTTTGCAATCTCATCTGCAATCCCAGAATCAAGATCAAACCCTTGAAATGATCCTAAATCTCCGTGAAGTAAATAAAATATTCTTTTGGATCTACTACTGACACTGAAGTAATCAAACTAAAAATGCAATCCGAGAGACAAGATTAAACCCTTGAAATTATCCTAAATCTCCGTGAAGTAATGAAATAAATTTTTTGATCTACCATTGAAACCGAACTATTCAAACTAAAAAAGGATTTAAGCTCAGCTCAGTTATTCATTTTCTTTCATCAATCGCAATTGATTAAAATCATATATTCAAACATTAACATTTATATGCGTTTTATAAACCATTGGATCATAATAGATTCAGAGAGATCGAGCATTGCTTAATTTGATTAATCAAGCTTTATCTATACCAGTAGTAGATATACATAAATATTTAAAGATGATAAGAAAGACCTGGATTTCCGGCGGCCGAGCTACGAGGGCCATCGACGACCTTGAAGGGGTTTCTGACGACCGTCGGGAGAGGAAGAGAGTGGTCGAGACGGCTATTCTGTACTTCGCTGTATACCGCCGCCAATCGGCCAGAAACCGCCGTAGTCCCGGCGGCGACACTGCCGTTAGGTGGCAAGGAAGGTGCCATTGATATCGCAGAGATCAAAAGCTCGGATCTTTGGAAGATGCGGAGTACCTTTTGCCTTCGCTTTTGCTGTTCACTCTCTCTCGCACACTTTTTACTGAAGAAGAGTTGAGAGTAAGGACAGAAAAGTCTTTTGAGACTCGAACTTAGGGTAGTTGCCACTTGCCAACGGTAACAGGGTATTTTGGGAACGCAATACTATATTTTTATGGATGGTCAAAGATTGGCACGAGTCGTAATGGCATTTATATTGCAAAGCAATGAAAGTAATTAGCCATTAGATTAGAGCATCTCCCAACCCACCTGCTATGAGAACTGTTAATTCAAAATAAATAACATTTGCTATTATATGGTTGGTGGGTTTATAACTGGGCTCTCATGCAATGCTATTTGGGCCGTTATTTTTTAACTTTGCTATTTTTTATGCCAATTATAGCAAAACAAATAACAATTACTATATGGGCTAAGTAACAAAGCTGTAGATTCAAAACAAAATAATTATTACATGGTTCGGAATTGTGAATTTGAAATTTCAACGAATATTTTTGCAATGTTTTTAGTGGCAGTGTTGTGCAGCGTAATAACCAACATTAGATTGTCATGGTTTTTATTAGAGTTAGATTGTGTTTTGTTTGATAAACTCTTATAATCCAATACAATTGACAGGTAACACTTTTTATCTGATGTTAATCGGTGTCATCTGATGTATGTAATTAAATAAAGACAATATTTGCCTCCTACCCCATAAATAAGAAGTTCCTTCCACTGATTTAGTCCAATAAAATTTGGACACATGTACTCAAATAAAAAATATATTAAGAAGTGCATCAACGGGTTAACCAGGCTCAAATTAAAATTCATTTGAGAATATTTTTTAAAACTTCTCTCTTCCCCCTAATCTCCATCTCTATTCTCCTATCCACGAAACCCTAATCAATCTCCATGGACACCCCAAAGCTTGAATGTATTTCCTAAATTCTAATGATCTAATCAATTGAAACATTTTATTATTACTTAGCATTTTGGATTGAAACATTAATAGAGATCAAATTAAGAATTTGCTTTGCGAGAACAGAGGCTATCAACATGAACATCAAGTTATATGTGTATATAGAGAGACTGCCTTATAGATAGATATAGAGATAGATTCTATCCCTATATATATATATATATAAGTTATATGTGTATATAGAGAGACTGCCTTATAGATAGATATAGAGATAGATTCTATCCCTATATATATATATATATATATATATATATATATATACATATACATATACGTACATAGCAGGAATCCCCCTCTCATATATAGAAATATATATCATAAATATATAGAGAGAGAGATACATAATGCCATATAGATACCATATTAGATATAAGGAATTCTCTCTCTCCATAACTTATATGTGTGTGTGTGTGTGTGTGGGTGGGCACAGTCGAGTTATTCCCCTCTATATATGTTCTTATAGTATACTTGTATATATATGGATTGGGTTAACCCATATATATAAAAAAAAGGGTTTGTTTTAATTTGGTCTTTTTCTAATATTCCATAACTTTTTATTGGGCCACATCACTCGGGAAATTTCTACTTACAGTGTAGGAGGCAAGTATTGTGCATTAAATAATGAAATTAGTTTTGTTTCCCAATTCGTACAGAAAATGAATTTATCATTTATATACTTGTCCCACATTTGGGGAGAGGAGGGATTCGAACTTGGGCATTGTACACTTGTCAGAAATGTAAAATTCGAATACAGTCATACCTACTCCAAAAACTGAAATATCTACCAATTCTTCATTCTACACCTGTGATGCCCATTTTTTACGCCTTAGCCAAAGTTCCTCTATCTATTACATCTCTTTATCAACATGGAGTTTTGGGTTTTACTGTTTAAGTGATAATTGTAGCCACATGCACCATCTTGTTTATTGGACAACTTTGGTGCAAAGAAGCAGTACTTTAATGTACTAAAAGAACGAAAATCATGTTTTCTTACATACCAAATAAAGTAGGATTAGTAATCCATTATACACACTAATGAGTATCACATGCCAAAGACCTCATCCTTGCTTTTGATCATCTTCTTTCCTCTCTCAGTGACCAAAATGCAAGAAGGGAATCTAAAAAGAGATTCTCACCAGTTGTCTAACCTCTCTCAGGATTTTCTCAATAATTGGATTAGGGCAACAAGGGCACACTAAACAAGTGCCTAGATTAACAGGCTAAGAAATCCAAATAAAATGATATTGCAGCCAAAAGACTCTTTTCAGTCTGATTTAAGTAGAAAGTGAAGCACAAACAACACCACACCAGACATGCTTTATCCCTAAAACAACCGACAAGCCTCGATTTTCTTGGCGAGTTAGGGTTTTGTTTATTGTGCTTGACATCATTAGTCTGGCCTATCTGTGGATTAAAAGCATCAATATGGAATTATGTTGTACCTACATTGCTGCTTCTTTATGTATAGCATATACTAACCTTTTGCTATAGCCATATTAAAAGCTGCACTTATTTTCCACATGGATCAAGGATTGTTAGTCTAATGTCTTCCAACATTGTGAATGCAACATGCTCTTTGTGGTCTCCTGTGTAGGCACGTTTGTTCAAATATCAAGCTTCACGAATTAACGAAACACGAACGTTGAGCAATACACATGGAGATTATGCTCTAAAAATGAACTTTGTTGATGAATAAAATCTCTAGCTTCGGAACGAACTTTCTTCCAGAATCATTGTACATAAATTTGAGGAGTATAATAAGTTAAAAACTTGCATCTATTAGGCAGCTTTGGTATGCAATTCATGTTGTTTATGTTGATCTTCAGAATAATGGACAGCCAAAAATAGCAATGTAGGGCCTCTCAAAGTAGTGGTAGGTCTAGATGTTATGTCATATTGATTCACTAATTAAGCTGAAACACCATAATTGCATGTATATATTAATTTATGAAATATTTAAGAATCACTCTCCTCTTTCTTTTTCCTTTATACCCCCATGTACTTCCTCTTTTCTCTTCAACTTTTTCCGCTAGTTTCACTAATCTTCTTGTGAAGTTAACCTCACAGTGTGCTGTTGATGCATTTCAATAACCATGTAAAGCAATTTGGATATTAGTTTGGTCCTTAAATTGAGTAGAAGATTGAATTATGATCAACTTCACAATCACACTAACCCTTCTACCAGCAGTAAACCTTGAGTCTATGGTTGATGTTCATCAAGCACATGAGTGCAGACACTCACAGCACATGTGAAGCCAACTAAAGCTTTTTTTTCCCCTTCTTTTAATCTTATCTGAATTGGTAGGTCTCATGGTTTCCATCTTTCCACATTAGCCACACATCCAAGCATATGACACCTAATACAACCTATAAAGAGGAATTAAAGGTGTGCTTATCATCATAATCACTAGTTCAATAAACAAAACAGATGTTCCCCATTTGTCTTCAAATCTTCCTCCAACCATACTTCATCTTACAAGTTATGCATCAAATGTTCAGAATCCCTACACAATCATGATTAGTGCGACCCACTTGCCAATTGTGCATAAATCTTTTTTTTTGCAGGCATTTGCCTTCAAAGCTCTGTGCTAATGTCTAAAAATGCAAGTCTCTAGACAACTCAAGAAGCAGAAGCTTCAACTTGGAGGATGCAGAAGCTTGTGTTGCACTTGCAGGCTTAGTGTCTCTTCCTCGGAAGAAACTGAAAGCTCGAACTCAGATCGGTTTGGAACCATCTCTAGCCTAGCACACGCCATGGTCCAAGAGCGGCTAGACCAAATGATCAGGGAGAGGCAGGAGGCAAGACATAAAGAGAGGAGGAGGGCAAGGGGAGAAGGGGCTGAGTTCATTGTAATGGTGGCATTGGAGAAGTCTTCCTATGATCCGAGAGAGGATTTTAGAGAGTCCATGGTTGAGATGATTATGGCAAACCGGATTTACGAGCCAAAGGATCTACGAAAGCTCTTGAATTGTTATGTTTCGATGAATTCTGAGGAATATAGAGGGATTATACTGGAGGTTTTCCATGAGGTTTGTACTAATCTGTTCCTATGTTGTAAATGCCATTGATGAGAAACGTAATACTTCTAGATGATTAGTCCTATTCAATGAAAATTATGGAAAATGGAATACCTTGTGGTTTAGGCTCTTAATCACAAAAATAACTGGCAGATCTATGTTTGATACAAGTAAACATGGTACAATGCACCAGTGGAAGGAAAGATGTAAATGTCATTTCTTTGTAAACTGAAACTTTCAAAAGATATAGCAACTATAATATGCCCCCAAATCCCAAGCATAAAATAAATAAATAATGGCATAGGGGGTGTGAAGGGTTCAATTCTTATCACTTTTCAGTCACTGTTGAATGTATTTGTATGGTTTGTGCTTGGATAGGGATGTTAAATGGATGGGCTGGCCTGGTCCAGATTGGAAAATGGATTGTTCTTCTACTGCATACTTATGTTCTTCCTTTTTCCTCTTATCCCTTCATTTGCTTAAAAGTACCATTTTTTATAGTTTAAACCTTCATAGTGGAGAACATGAATGCTTATCATAGATTTAAACCACTATGAGGTATTAGTCATCATCTAGTTGGCCACTCTCAATATGTAGTCTGAATAATTCCTGCAAATATTGACAAGGTCTTTGAGTGCTAAAAATGGAACATTAGTCAGGCTTTAAACTAGAGAAACAGTAGTTTGAGGTTAGCTAGGCATGGGATTTGCAGTATGTGATTCACGGAAAATGAATGAATTGGAGATCTGAGGTAGAAGGATAACGCGCACACAGCGCAGTCAAAGTACATGAGAGACGCGAAGTCATTCTCTGGATTTACTTAGCAAAAAGATTCAACCTGAAAACTGCTGAATGTTCTTGTTATGGTACTGATAGAGACACAACTCCTCGTTCTTTTATTTTTTAAGGTCTGCAATCATCAACAGACCAGTGACCTAGCGGCACAAAGCCCTACTTCTCAAAGAGAGATTAGGGGTTCGAGTATCAGTGGAGGCATGTGTGTGAGTACCACCAACTAGGGAAAAAAAAAAAAGGTATGCAATCTGTTGCTCTGTGTATGAACATGGTATAGGAGAAAAAATGGTAATTCTGAAAAGGTCCAGCTAGGCAAATTCAAACATCATTTTAAAGAAGCTTACTTGTTTGTCATGAGTCGATGGTGAGGCAAAAGCAAGTATGAGAGATATCAGTCCTCAGCCCTAGTAGCAGAAGCAGAGGCCGCGAGACACGCTTTTGTTCAAGATCAGGCCATGGGGTTGTTGGGGATAATGTTTGAAGAAGACTCTCAAATTGAAATAGGTGATCCATGCTGTGTCAATCCTGTGCAGCCTATTCATTAATCAATCTTGCATATTGTTAAAGAATTGAAGCTGAAGTACACCTTCTTTTCTTGTTTTTTTCAATTCGTCTCTTAGTTCAGCTAGCCAGTACCAGTAAGTGATTGGCTAGAGTTGTGTTGAGTAATCAATTGAACAAGAATTGTGACAAAGTTAAAACCAGAATACTTGAAACGTAAACATAAATATTATAAGCAAAATTAGAATCACAAAGTACAAGTTATCACTCAACATGACAAACTAATGACGCGTATTTTCAGAAAATACTGAGAAATCAAGGAAAAAACAAATGATAGCAATCACACAATGGATCAAACTAAACAACAGTAATCACTCAACGGATCTCACTATGGACTTTATTGAGTAGGTGTTTGGAAGATGGTACTAAAATGAGATTCCATTGGGCAGATCAGACGAGGGAATCGATGGTTTGAGCAGTACAAGGGCATCTAGAACAGGTACAACTTGTGGCTTGGGATTGGGTTATGGGTTTGGATTTATAAAACATGAATGAATTGGTGAGCCAAGATTTAATGGAAGCACTACTTAATCGGGGAACTCCCTTTCCTGCTCTCTTGAGAGAGTACTTGATATTACTCATGAGTGATATATAAATAGGCAAGTATGAGAGTAGAAAGATGGTGGCGGGGAAGAAAGCAACAGAGTATAAGGCAATTCTTGTCCATTGTTGCTTATTACGTATGGTTAGGATAATTGTTGCTGCAAATGCCAACATCATCACTGAAACAGATAAAATCAGTAGTGTAACTCCTACCATAAGTTTTTGAGGAAGAGAATATTTGAAGTCCTTTAACCTAAATGGTGACGTGAGGATGGAGAGAAATGTAATGACTGATGTCAAAGCCAATGTAAGGGAGAGTACGTCAGCCATGGCAAAAATCAAAAAGAAAGGCTGGTTGAGGAGAATGGGAAGTCCAGTATTTTGATTTGGACCTCCTGGAACCGTGTAGGGTGCAGCAAAAGCAACAGTAGCAATAAGCACAGCAACAATGGAGCAATTTTCAGCGGTGCGCTTCAACCATTCATTGGCATCTTTACGAAGTGTTTCACTATTAGTAGCAAATAGTACTTCAGCACTCTTTCCATCAGAGTTGACGCACTTGGTGAAATGGTTCGTAGAGATTTTCTTCACGCGCTGCATAAACATGGAAACACATATATAACTTTGTTAATTTCCGTAAATCAGCACTCTTTCCATCAGAGTTGACGCACTTGGTGAAATGGTTCGTAGAGATTTTCTTCACGCGCTGCATAAACATGGAAACACATATATAACTTTGTTAATTTCCGTAAATCACTGATTTGATTAAATTCTCAATTCTTCTTTGATAATCCCTTTACAATTAAATTAAAACAAAGCAAAGTGCTTCGAGCTGTTGGACCATGGCCCTTTTCATCAAGGGATGCACAAATGGCAAAATACCAATCTTTGATTCAACATCTTGAAGCCTCCTCCATAATGGCCATGTTTATGTGCTATACATGAAAAAGTATGTGTTTGTGTACACAAGAGTCGCACCTCAACCACTGGGCCATTAGCCCAGCTGGTATAACCTCTCCTCCCTCAAAGGAGAGGTCAAGGTTTTGAGCCCCATATTGGGCATTCGTGGCTGTGTGTGCGTGAGTATTTACCTAACCCCCCCAAAAAAAAAGAAAAAAAAAAGAGTCGAACCTCAAACAAGTGCAAGTCCTCCTGCAATAGCAGAGCAGGGTTTGGTTTGTCTTTAGCTGCATGATCAGCTGCTCTTATCCCAACCATGTGCAGTATGGAGTTCCCTATATTATCAGTCTTTCTTATGAGCCTTTTCATTGGAATTTCCATTTTCTCTACAAGATTGAAAATTTGCATTTGGCGATACTTGATAGCTACGTGTAAGATAGTACGCCCATGATAATCAATATGCTCAACTGCCTGAGGATATCGCTCGAGTATCTCTTCAACAATCTCTATGATGCCTGCCTTACTAGCCAAAAACAAGGCAATTTCAGCAGAGTGTCCAGTCCTCATTGCATGACTTGTTGGGGCCATTTGTACTTCCTCTACTTCTTGGCCATATTTGTGGGTCTTAAGCTTACCCCAGCCAATTACAGATTCAGTGGCCTTCCATGAGGAATCTCTTTTTATCAAGAACTTGGTAAGTCTCAAAGCAGATTCATACCTCTGTTTTTTCTTCCTAATTGCCTCACAAAAGGGTATCTGGAAACATGATTCTATTTTACAAGATATTGAAATCAGTAAAAGTTGCATACATATATAGAGACAAATTGGTAGAACTATTCAAAGAAAAAGAAATATGTTCAACTATGTTGAACCATCATAAAGACAAGTATTTCTATCTAGATCGATCCTAGAGCTCATCCGAAGCCAAACTAAAATATTTGTCATATAATGACAATAATGCATGATGGAAGGCATGAAATGACAAATATGAAAGAATGAAAGGGCTTCCAAAATCAAAGATAGGAGAAACAATGGTGATATCTTTCGACATACATCATTTTACCTGCTTCTGTCAAAGTAGTATTTTTAATTAGACCTTAGAAAACCCAATACTTTTGCAATATTTAGGATGTAACTAATCAGGAAAAAAAAGAGGCAGAAAGAAAGAAAAATGAAAGGAATCAACAAATCAGACAAAAATAAATAAATAAATCAATAAAATCAGATAAATGACATTTGTAGATTACAACAACATGGTCCAACATCAAATATGAGAGAACAAAGGTGCACAACCCTTTACCTTCTTCTGTCTCAATGGTATCATCAGCAACCCCTGTAAAAACCCAATTTTTTGGTGATATTTAGGATGTAACTTAATAATAAAAAATAAAAAAAATGACAAATCAGATCAAAGATAAGACAAATACATGGCATTAGTAGATAGCAACAACATGGCACACATGCATGATTGCTGTGAAGTGTGATTGGATAAAAAGAAGAGGTCTTTTATAGGCATAGTTGATATGGAAGTATAACAATGATATTATTGCTCAATTCCTTGCCGAGAAGACGGAGGAATAGAGAAGAAAAGTTCCAAGTTTAGATTGCTTTCATTACAGTCTCAACAATGAAATGAACCTCATTTGAAAAGAAGGATATTATTTATGGCAAAGTCCAAGGAACCTGAATTAGAAGGAAGGATCTTACAAGAGTAGATGAGTCGCTTGATGGAACTTAGTTTACTCCCACTTAGGAATGCTGATGGATTGCATGCAAGAAGCTGAAGAGCAGTCATCCCATCTCTATCTTGTGCAACAGCTAAGTATTCATACTTTTCCACAATCGAAAGGGCCAAATCTGTTTCATGTTTCATAGCAAAATCTGAGTGAAAGCAAGGAAACGGGAAAAAAAAAAATAAAAAAAAGAAGGATCAGCCTTTCTATTTTTTTTTTATTATTTTTTGACCTTAGCATCTCTCAATATCTTATTCCTAAGTGTTTTGTGTGACATCCAACAATATATAATACAGTATGTATGAAAAATTATCTAGCTAATCTAACTAATCATAAATAGTGAAGAAAAAGCATTTGCTTTTTGGATAAGATTATAAATAATGAAGAAAATAGTTACATGATTAAATATTGTATATCAGTTCTTCTGCTCATGGATACTCACCAAAATGCTCAGTGAGGATGGACATGTGAAGTATAGTGCTTTTATTCTCACTCTGATGAAAGGCATTGAGGCCTTCTTCTGTGCCATCACTTCCAAAGATTCTGTTGATTTCGCCATCTAGAAACTTGAACATATCCTTTTTGCCATACCGGGCTGCACGAAACAGAGCTGTCTCATCATGCCCATTGCGCATGCCTAACAACTTTGGTGCCTTGAGCAACATTTCCCTTGCAGCCGGGACCATTTTGTTGGAAGTGGCTGCCTCATGAAGTATAGTGTTTCCAATGTTGTTTAGACTAGTCATTTTGCAATAATGACTTTCAGGCAACAATTTAAGTAAACGTAGTACCAAGTCAGCTTGTTTGGAGTAAGTGGCCATTTGTAGGACTGTGTCATTTTGTATGGTTAGTATGTGCACTGGTCCCTCTGGTTTTTCTTTGCAAAGTTGGATCACCTTGCAACTTTGTTCTCTCATTAGAGCATCATACAGCTCCTTATTGTAGCCATCTTCTGCATCATTGGTCATGAGAGCCATGAGTGAGTGAGAGAGAGAGAGAGGGCTTCACAAAGATGAGTTAATAACGTGTGTGATCGCCAATGCGCGTGCTTAAATAGGCAGACTCTGACACAGGAGAAAGGCCAGGTGAGCTCCAAATAACTGCCTTTCAACTTCAAAGATGCAATTACTTGTTAAGAATGTATATGCTCTTAGTTTCATACCCTGGAGGTACCCAATAAGCACTCACTGTTTTCAAGAAAAACAACTTTCCCTTAGAGGGGACACTACTTTATTGGTACCCCTTGGATACCAATAATTCCTCATTTGTTTCTAAGTGAATTGGATCAGAAAAGTGCAATGCACTATGAAAGTGTTAGCAACTTCACCTTGAAACTGTTTTTCTAATTAAGGAACTTATTCTTTGTCTAATATATGAGAAAGTAGTTTCTGCTTTGCTTAGTCGTGAACTGCATGTTGGGCTTTTGTAATATTTATTAAGGTATGATTAATTCTTTGTTTATAGTAAACGAAGTGGTGTCGACTTTGCTTCATTGAGAAACAAAGTTGCAGATAAAGTTTGACCTACCACAGTGAAGCTTTGATTCCAAGAAACTAATCTTCAGGCCAATTATTTTACCAGGCGAATTTCACTTACTTCATGGACTCATTTTACTTGTAAGTAGGAATCATTCTTTCAAAAAAAAAAAAAAAGTAAAAAGGGAACTCAAAACAGACCTTTCATATTGTAGAAGGAGATAACGGTTGAGCTAACAGCTCAGTCTTTGTTCCCAATTCCCATTAACTAGGCCCTTCACTAATGGATGCTCATAGCTATATAATTATGATGGACGTGTTTAAGCACTGTATTTCATTTGTTTACAGGAGGATGTTAATTTCATACTATCACGGCCATAGTTATAAAAGTAAAACCAATATAGCTATTAATATGCTCTGTAAAGAGCTTCCAACCATATGGCATGACCACGCGTAATATATGTTTACGAATGCAAACAATGTCAATAAGAAATACCATGATAGAGTGTGTATGTGTGTGTATGGAACAACATATTTTTTCAGAAAAAATTAGAAATAGTAATCAGCCGGAGCTGAGAGAGATATATATATATATATTTTGTGTAATTCTTTATCCTTGCTCTATGGGATAGAAATTTCCCTTACTTCGCGGACTCAGTTTACTTGTAAGTTGGAATCATTCTGTTAAAAAAAAAAAACGAAAAGAGTAAAAAGGGGACTCAAAACAGACCTTTCTTGTTGTAGGAGGTAAGAGTCAAGCTAATGGCTCAGTCTTTGTTCCCAATTCCCATTAACTAGGCCCTTAACTAATGGATGCTCGTAGCTATTTAATTATGATGGAGGTGTTTAAGCAGTGCATTTGTTTACAGGAAGATATTGATTTGATACCATCACAAGTACAAAAGTAAAACCAAGATAGATAATAAATAATATTCTCCATAAAGAGCTTCCAAACATATGGCATGACCATCCATAATATATGTTAACGAGTGCAAACAATTTCAATAAGAAATTCCATGATAGAGTGTGTGTGTGTGTGGAACATTGCTGATAGAAATTCAGAGAACATTTGTGATACCCCCTAATTTTGGAACACGGATTGATCAAGCCCGCGCACAAAATCAAAGGATATCAAAACAATTTAAGTATTTAACAAGCACAGAATACAAAGATGAATAATAAAGAATAAATAAACCGCTGAAGAAAACTAATAAATAAATATTACTTAATGATTCTCCAACAATTACAATTCGGAAATTCCATAACTCAAGGACCCCTTAAAACATTATCCAATAATCCAATACTATTAAAAAGTACACAAGATGAATAGATGAATGACAGTCTCCCAGCTGCGGATCCTCAACCTCGAGACTGGAACCTCTAATAACCTGAAAAATAAATCGTGGGTTAAACCCTACGAGCAAGTTCACTCTACCAGGCCTCTGAAAACCAATAAGCAGATCATCTCTGATCAAAACCAAACCTAATAAAGTTTTAACTTTAATAAAGCACGATATACATGTCTATATATAATTATATATACTATACTAATCACATCCATTAATAGGTTTATTAAATTTCCATACCTATTAAATAATTATTAAAATAATATTCATACCTAGACCAATCTACCATTTCATTTTATAAAAACTCCTTTGACCTTAATCCCATCCTAGTCAGTTGTCTAATCATTTAAACAACAAATTATAATAAAAGAAATACTCTATTTAATCCCAACCCGATAATGATTTTAATTGTTTAAATCACATATCCAAAATCCAAGTTTTGACAAATCATCCACGTCTTCCCCAATATTATTTTATTAATGTAAAATAATACACTAACCAGTAAGTACTAAACTATTCTCATTTAAGAATATCTAACCCTAATCCAATCCATACATACAACAACCATAGATGATATTTTAATCATCTAACACATAACAACGTAATTATGCTTTGGCAAATCAACCATGCCATTGTAAATATTTTTATTTATATATTGGCAATTCAACCATGCCTCCATAAGTATATTTATTTATACATTGGCAATTCAACCATGCCTCCGTGTATGTATATTTATACATTGGCAATTCAACCATGCCTCCACAGGTATATTTATTCATACATTTAATTAGCAATTCATCCATGCTTTCCATATATGTATTCTATTCATACAAATATTTAGGTAATATATTTAATCATTTGACAATTCATCCATGCCCACACTTTAAGCATGAATTAACTTTAAAATTAACAATACGCTAAATCATACATAGCCATCACATGCATATTATACGCATATCATTAATTTAACAACCAGCCTATTAAGATATGCCAAATAAGAATGATAATATTAATCATCTTAAATGATTTATATATATATATACCTACACATATGTTATTTAATGTATATATGTGTTTAACACCTTCTTTAATAATCCTTGATTATTTAAAATCAATATACATACATACATACATATATATATATATATATATATATATATATACACTTCCTTCCATAACAAATTATTAATTTATTATATTTACACAAATTAGTGCAACTAAATATGTCAGAAATAGTTTCCTTTAAAAACTCCATATTGGTTTAAATAGTTTTCCGACACTTTCTCACTAAAACATAAATATCTCCTAGTAGGATGGGAATCTGATAATGAAATTGGTACCATTGGAAAGAAGACGAAAAATCCTTGAATTTGAGCTCAAGAATGACCCAATTTCGATTTAAAATGACTAAGTTATGACCGTTTTAATTTCTAGTGTCGAATTAGGCCAACATAGTTTCCCACGCGCGCCCACGTGCTTACTATGCACTTGCACGCGCTGGATTCAAGCCTCCTTGTGTGCTGGTATTGGCTAAGCTCTTTCTGCTACCGTGAGCTCACCACACTGAATCCATTACTTCCTTTATGCCGCATCCAATGGTCATAAATGAGTGCGCAAATGAACACGCTCACACTAGATTATTTTCTATTAACTATAATAGATCTAAGGTCCAGATCAGCGAGTGCACCATCTTCTCATGGTCTGCAATACACCAAATAATCCCATAGTTAACCAGACCACTTCTATGGTCCAGATACACATGCGCACCAAAGTTTTATGCGCCGCGATGCACCATATCAATTCACATAAGTTTAATTAATCAAATGGCCCTAATTGGCGTATACACCCTATTATCCTACACCGCGCCGCACTGGATCAATTCTTTATTGTGCCGCCGCTCCACATATATAATTATTTTCCTAACAAATAATAGGAAAATAAATCCTAATAAATTCCTAAAAATATCAGAAAAATTCCAAAAAATTACAGAACAATTCTAGAAAATAAAGAAACCATAATTAACTCTCTTGGGTCACAAATCCACCTATAGATTGATTTTAAAATATACATAACACCTATATATATCAATTAAAATCCAATAATCTAAAAATCAAATATAATAGTTTATACTTTTTAATTATTCCGATCTAACCATAATTTTTAAACAAATAAATTTAATTAAAGCCTTGATACTCAAGGTGAAATCCTTATGAGTTCTAAGAGGAAAGTTAGAGAAAACTCGCCTGAAGGTTTCGAAACGAAACCGACGCTTTAAGCTTTAATTATCTCTTCCAATTCCGACGTCCTCCTTTTCAGATCCGACCTCCTCCTTGTCAGCCCTTCTTCTTCCTCTCTCTCTGTCTGTTTTATTTTTCTAACGTGTAAAACCTTTAACCCTAAAACCTTATGTGTATTTTTATACACCTTAAATTCCAAATCCTATTCCAACTAGTATTATGAATTAAATAAATAAGATA